CGGCGGCGCGGTTTCCCTCTTGCCCCCGTCCCGGTCCTCTCCGAGAGGGGTCTGGCCCCGGCCTCCCCGGCCCCGCTCTCCCAGCGCCCCCGCGCAGGCAGCCCCCGGCCCGGCCCTCTCCCCCCCAGGCGCCCGGGTCGGGTCCCAGGAGCGCCGCGGGCGGGAGGGATCCGTCCCCTGGCCGCAGGGACACGCTGCTCCCGCGCCGCGTCCTTGTCCCCCGGGACGGCTTCGGCAAAGCCGCCTGCCGGGCAGCAGCCCTGGGCCGTCCCGTGGCGCAGGATTACTCTGGCTCAGGAGCAGCACTTTGCATTTGCCTTTGAGCTCCGTAATGTTCTCGGCAGCCTGTCAAGGCACCTCTGAACAGTAGCTCTGCCCTTCAGCTTGTTGACCGCTCCCTCCAGTGCAGTGTCGCCTGTGGGCTTGCTGAGTGCCTGCAGTGTCCCAGCCCCCAGTTCATGAACACGAAAGGTGTTAACGGTGTCGGTCCCTCCCTCAGCTCCTGAGGCTTCAGGAACACTCGGTTCCCCTGGTGTTGGTAGCTGACCACCAGCTGGACTTGGACCTTGGCGGGTCAGCCAGTTTTCCATGCACCTTATCTGATTATCAGCCCGCACGTCGCCTGCGTGGCTAGGAGGGTAGCACGGGAGACCGTGCCGAGAGCCTTCTGAAGGTAAACCATAGCCACGGCTCCCCCCTCACCTGCACAGCCACTCATCTGTTTGCAGAAGCCAGCCAGGTTGGTCGAGCATGGTTTGCTGTTGGTGAGTCTGTGCTGGCTGCTCCCAGTCCCCTTCTTGTGTGCTGTGTGCTGGGAAGTGTTTCTGGGAGCATTTGCTCCGTAACTTTCCCGGAGATGGGGGTGAAGCTGACTGACCTGCAGTTCTCAGGAGCCTTTTCCTTGGCAATCTTGCAGGGTGGTTTGATATTTGCCTTTTTCCAGCCATCGCTACTGTGACATTTGAGGACTCACAGGGACACCAGCCGTCCCCCTCGTGTGTGTCCTGTCTGGTGCCGTGGACTTGTGCATGTCCAGCTGGCTTCAGCGATCCCTCCCTTGATCATCCTCTGTGTGATGCTGCATTCCCACAGGCTGCCTCTGGGCACAGGGACTTGGGAGGCTCAGTGAACAAGGCGAAAAGGCACCAAGCACCTCAGCCCTTTCTGTGTCTTGTGTCACTAGGTCCCTTGCCTCACTCAGCACCAGGCCTTTCTGCAGAGGTCAGGGTGATGCATGTTCCCCTTGGGGACCAGGACCTGCAATCATGAGTCTTCCTCTAGCTGTCTAAAGATGTACCCATCACCTCCCAAGTGGTTATTACCTGCGCCGAGCCAAGGCTCTGTGTGTTCAGGCTGCTTTCTTTGTGCAGATCGCAACCCCTTCTACTTACCTCCTTGCCGATCTTTCCCAAAGAGCTGCGCCATCCGCTGCAGCTCTCCACTCGTGTGAGCTGCCCACCGTGCCTCTGTAGTCCCCACGGGATCGTACCTTTGCAGTTGTGCGTGGGCTCCTGAATCTTCCTGCTTGTTCCCCTCTTGCGTGCGTGTTTGTACGGACCCTCGAGATGGGGACCTCTCACGGGGGAGTGAAGGAGTCTCCCCCATCGTGCTGTTGCCCTGACATCCTCACTATTGCCCTTTTCTTTCCAGGCCTACCAGCCCGGGCCACCCTGCCTGCCCCATCCCCAGAGACCCCACCAGTCCCCTCAGGGTCCCTGCCACCCCTCCCTGACCTGTGCCCACCTTGCAGGCACCCCTTTTCGGGCCGCGATGTGCCCATCTCTAACGGTTCGGGTTTCCTGGTGTCTCCGGATGGGCTCATTGTGACCAACGCGCATGTGGTGGCAAACCGGCGGCGTGTGCGGGTGAAGCTGGCCAGCGGCGAGCAGTATGACGCCGTGGTGCAGGATGTGGACCAGGTTGCAGACATCGCTACCATCAAGATCAAGCCTAAGGTGTGCATCGCAGTTGTTGGAGACGCTCCCCTCCTTCCCTCCCATCCGCTCACCCACCTCCTCTCTTCCAGCACCCGCTGCCCACCCTGCCCCTTGGGCGCTCCTCCGAGGTCCGGCAGGGCGAGTTCGTGGTGGCCATGGGTAGCCCGTTCGCCCTGCAGAACACCATCACCTCCGGCATCGTCAGCTCTGCCCAGCGGGGCAGCCGGGAGCTGGGCCTGACTGCTTCTGACATGGAGTACATCCAGACCGACGCTGCTATCGATGTAAGGGGAGCTTGCGGGGCGCGGCGGGTTGGCCCCTCATCCTGGCTGCCCTCTTTGGGGAGGGGGGAGCTGGGGAAGGGCTGGGGGTGCCGTGAGGTCAGAGGAGGCTGGACACAGAGCACTGGCAGACGAAGGGATTCTGGCCGGTCACCCAGGCGCTGGCTGTGTTTCTCGGCCTGACCCTGTTCTCTGGACTCTGCCTCCCTGCCGCGGGTCCTGCTCTGCGAGGGTGTCGCTTTCATGGCCTGTTTACTGCTCTCTCCTCTGCTGCAGTTTGGGAACTCCGGGGGACCCCTCGTCAACTTGGTAAGTTCTGCTGCTTGCACCTTCGCTGGCCAGGGCAGAGAGGTGCCACGTGCCCTTGGGTCTGTGCCCCTGGGGCTCGGTGCCCCTCAGTGGGAGCACTTGTGGGTGCTACAGCTGCCGGGAGGGAGGGACTCTGCATGCACCGGGCTCCTTGTGAGGAGGCGCGGGGGAGCAGCCCAGCGGGGGAGCCCTGTGCAGCGTCTGTTTCAGGGAGCCTGAGCCGACAGGACTCTGGCACGGCGGAGCCGAGCCCTGCCCTGGTGCTGGTGCTGGCAGGGCAGAGGGAGGGGCTGCGTGGGCTGCAGCCTGTGGGACCGGTCCCTGCCCAGCCTCAGCAGGGTCGGGCAGGCTGGGAAGGGGTGGGCGCACAGGCGGGACTCCAGACTTCTCCACAGCGATGCAGGCTGGATAGCACAGTGCCCTTTCCTCTGCAGGATGGCGAAGTGATCGGGGTGAACACTATGAAGGTGACATCGGGCATCTCTTTTGCCATCCCCTCAGACCGGCTGCGGAAGTTCCTGCAAAAGGAGGAGCAGCGCAAAAGTGAGTTGGGTGCCTCCCTGCTCGGTATTGGGGGAAGGAGGCCAGAAAGAGGAGGGTGAAAGAGGGAAGCTCTGGCACAGCTGAGCTCTGGGCCCTTCTTCTGAGAGAAGGGAAAGCAGAGCGGGAGAAAGAGTCTTTGGGGGTAAGAAGATTCTGCCATCTGGCATGAAACTCCCCTCTGCCTTGGGAAAGCTGTGCTGCTACTTCCCTGCCCACAGGGGCCTCACAAACTGCAAGGAGGGTGCTGCCCTGCATCTGCGGCAGGTAAAGGCTTTTAAAGTGTCCCACGTAGCTTGCGCTTAAAGCCCCAGGAGTAGGTGAGGATTTTTTTTTTTTTTGTTCGTTGCTACTTTTCAGTAGATCTCAGCATATGGGAAAATCAGTGGACCATTATTTGGCGTTCAAAAAAGGGAAAGGATGACCTGGAAACCGGGGGCTGCTTAGCCTTGTGCGTACTAATGGAAATGCAGGTGCGGGATTCAGCTGTATCATAAAGGACAGGTAGTTAATTTAGTAGAATATTGCCCCTTTTTGTTCCACTGTGTTCGTGATAATTTGTTTAATGCAGACTCTTGCTTTCTGGTTCTCACGTTGACACCATGGAGTGATATTCTCTGTCAAAAAAACTACAACTCAAACCAGGAAAGCAAAGTATGCAATACCTATACAGCTCTAACTGGTAAATGGAACTTAAATAAGCTGTTGGTAGGGAATCGGGATGACTCCCTCCACATAGTGTCTGCCTTGAGGTGTGTGGGCTCTGTGACTCGGCTGGCTCAGCCCAGCACTATTTTGAGTGCGTGTCTGTTTTCAGCCTTGTCATTTGATGTCCTTTCCTTCGGCAGGCTCTTGGTTTGGCAATACAGAGACAAAGCGCCGTTACATAGGAGTGATGATGCTGACTCTTACACCCAGGTACGTGTTCGAAAGTCAGGGGCCAACAGACCGGTCTTGTTGGGGTGTGGTGACTGTGTGATGGGATCTTCCAGACAAACTGAGAGTGCCTCTTTTGGGGAGAACCGTCTTCACAGCTTAAGCATTCACTCTCAAATCTCTTTTTGCTCCTGTTGTGTTTGGACTCTAGGCTATGTCAGAGGTGAATTAGAAGCTTGCAAGTTTCTACACTTGTAGCAGAATCTGCAAGCAGATAAAAAGTCCCTGAACCTACCCCCAGAGTGCCAGATCGGTTTATATCGAGGGGAATTTGATAAAGAGCCCTTGCAACACAGCATGAATGAAAAGCCATGAGAAACGCTGTGTAATTAATAGATATGCAACGTGCCAACTGAAAGTTGTGATGAAAGAGTTGGGCAAGTTGTACTCTCTGGGAGGAGGGATCTACCAGCTGAATTGCTGTGGTGCAGAAGCAGTTCTAGAATATGGGACTTTCAGAATAAGAAATGGCAAATTTGCCTTCAGTAGTCGACTGAGGGAGGAGGTGAACAGGTAGGAGAGCAGGCTGTGTTGGCGCACACAGCGTGGCTGCCACCCAGAGGGTGGTGTGAGGCTCCTGGGCGTCAGGAGGGAGGCCGGGTGCTGCCTCTGGAAAGAAGTCATCATGGTGGTGACCAGTACAGCACTGGCAAATGGGAAGAGGATGGCTCCTTGTGGGTCTAAGACTCTTCGCCCTCGTGGCTATGGCTTGGAAAGGGCATCGTGTTACCTCTGTGTCTCAAGGAACGCTCTGGTAAGCAAAGGGCGCTGTGAACAGACAACCTCCTTGGGTCTGATGGAAGGGTCACCCGCTGCCCTTGCTTCAGCCGGTCCCCAAGGTGTGCCTGTGGCCTCGGCAGCCAACCGAGCACCCTGACATAGGTGCCCTGCACAGTGGCAGCTGTGCCGTGCCGAGGGCTGGATGGCCCTGGTCAGGCCTGCACAGAGCACCTCTCAGGGCTGTGAGCCCTGCAGGGAATTGCTGCAGGAGCTACACCTGAACGCCTACCAGCAGCCTTCTAGATGCAGCAAATGCATGTGTTAGGAGCGTGCTAGACCTGTACTCTCACCTCTGAGAGCAGTTCTCCTTTTCAAGGACAGAGTGCCAGCTCTGGTTCCTTGGCTCCTGCAGCCGTCTTTCAAGAGACCTTTAACTGGCTCTTGGGGCTAAGCATGCTAGTGGGGTTGGTGGTTGTAGCGTCCTTGGCAGAAACGGCTTCCAGGGCTGTGCTCTGCCCTTGCTAAAGCTCTCGCGGCTCGTGTGTGTTGGTTGGGTTTGCAGGCTGCCTGCACCTCTGGAGGCCACGAGCAGTCTCTGCGCCTCCTGACATTCGGGGCGGTGGGGTGGGTGGGAGAGCACGGTCAGCATTACTGGCATGCCCAGTAGATGCCCAGTAGATGGTGCTGGTATTCAGCAAAACCTGTGGGATGTGGGAGCCCAACCCCCCCCGCCTTCACTGGACAGGCGTGCGGGATGAAGTCTGTCAGGGAAAGAAGCGTGAAGTGCTTAGGACATGGCTCCTGGGAAGCGGGTCCAGCTTCGGCATAGCCAGCGAGCAGTCTGGCAGCCGGTCCTGGGAAACCATCTGACCGCAAGGCTTGTTTGTGCCCAGCTGCTGGGAAGGTCTCCCACCAAGGGATCGCTCACCTTGGAATCGGGCGATTACACTGTCTGAATG